TCACGAGCCTGTGAGCCAGCATGAAGAATCATGGTTGATAGCTCTCCCAGAGTTATTTCAAGATAACAAAAGAACTAGAAGAGCTAAGATATGAGGGTGAGATTCCGTATTGTTTCAGTCCCATAAAAATGGTCTCTAGAGTAGTCTATGAATATACTAGCTCTCTCTCTATGTGTAGAGATTTGCAACTCACTGCACAGTCTCACCACAATCTGCCCTCAGTAGAGCAAAAGCAGTTTTGGCACTGAGGGGAAGTGATGTTTTGTTTTGTTTTGTCTTGTTTTGTTTTGTTTTCATTATCAGTTGGCTGATCATGTCAAGGCCAGCGCTGAACCTGTTAAATGTCTGCTCCTGAGCAAGAATCTTTCCCCCACCTACCCCAAATAGTCTTGAGCCTGGGGAAAAAAGTCCACAGAAGGGAACAACTGGGTGAAGGGGAGGAACCCTTCTTTTGTGGTAAAGGGAACATGCCCTCCCTACAGGCAGAAAGGACTGTTTTGTAGAGGATTTATGGCCTCTACAATTTGTACAGTGGCAAGTGCACAAACCCACTTTGGCACAGATAGCTGAGAAGTTTAACTGAGCCTAAGCTAGTATGCAAATGTAGCACCACAGGAAGAATTCACATGCAGAAAATAATTATGGATTAAAATAGCTTTCTTAATGTCTGAAGACAAGTCATTTTTGTCAGTAATACTGTCTGTCTATTATTGAAATATAGTTCACATACCATAGCACCCAGCCCCTTGGCGTGTACAAGTCAATATTTTTAGTGAATTCACAAGGCTGTGCAGCCATCACCACAATCTCATCTTAGGACATTTTTTTCGTCTCCTAAAACAAAAAGAAAAACCCATAAACACCTCGATCGTGAAGCCCATTCCCCCTTCCTTGTCCCAACCCTAAGCAGCCACTGGTCTCTTTCCTGGCTTTGCAGATCTGTCTGTTCTGGGCATTTCTTAAAATTGGGCTCAGGCAATGTATGATCTTGTGACTGGCTTCCTTTACATACCACTTAGCATGTTCTTAAGATTTGTCCATGTGTAGCCATTTATCAGCATTTCACTTCTTTTTACTGCCAAATATTCCATTGTAGAGTAGACCACATTTTGGTTGTCTGTTCATCAGTGGATGGACTTCAGGGCTGTTTTCATCTTTTTGGATATTATGAATATTGCTACTAAGTACATACATATATTGTTTTGCTGATTTTGAGATGTAAATTCAGTCTGATTAAATGAAAATCCTCCCATGACCAAGATGTAGCTGAGGTCTTGGTATTCATATTCCATGCGATACCTAAAGGGTCTGGAAACCTCTTTGTGATGGTCTAACAAAAAAGTTGACACCGAGATGTTCATTTTAAATTTATAATGTAGTTAAAGATAGTCACAAGATTCACATATAATAGCTGTGGAAGGGGAGGAAAGGAATGCCAGGAAAGTTTTTTTCACGAATGCTCCACCTGCTCACTTAGCCCCTGCACAGGTGCATGTGCACACAATATACACACACACACTCTCCTGCCTGCCTTGTGGTCCAGCTGTCCTAGCTTTCTGCTTCAGAACCAAAGTTGACGGGCAAGACCAATCACCAAAAAGAGGAAGCTGAGCCGAGAGCCAGGGCCAGGGCCAGGACACGGCACTGCTGCTGGGTTGGAAATACTGGAAGCCATCCGTGGGCCATTTGGAAATGTTAATTAGGCTGGCTAATTCCCACTGGTCTTGGGTTGCCAGTGTTGAGTTGAGTGTGTAGGCTTACCCCATCCACTGCTGCACCTGTTCCCTTCCTCAGAGCCACTCCAAGGGGCCTGAATGGTCCAGACAGCTCTCTGATCTCCAGCTCTGTCCGCCTTCCTGCTGGGAGGATATTTAGCACTCGCCTAAAGCTGGAACCCTAGTCCACTGTTTCTCTCCCTCATCCATGCCAGCTCTCAAAATCATTCTCTTCCCTAATTACCTTGAACCAGTTAATCATTTTCCACACTGACTGTTCAGTAATAAGAACCCAGGGAGAGGCAGCCACTGTTCTTGTCTGACCCTGCCCAGCGTTATCCCAGGTGGCAGTCTGGGATGGTAACCTTCCCTCAGAGATAAGACGGTTCAAATCTTGGCTCTTTCGCTATCCCAGTGAGTACAGCCAGAGAAAATGGGCCACAAAAAGACCTGCCAGTTCTTGAAAGGCTTCTGCTAGGCAAAGCTGTGTGGAAAAACAGCAGATCTCCAACCAAAACTATTGTTTCCTGGTTTTTTTAAAGAATTTTTTTCACTTATTTATGCATATAAGAGTTGGGGTACAGGCCAGAGGTGTGGTGGGTGAGAGGATTCACCAGAGACAAAGTGGGGAGCAGAAAAGGGAGATCAACTGATATATACTGCTGAGGGGAGCAACGGGCGAGACAGGAGAGGTCTGCTGCCCCATGTGGGTAGTTCCCTGGCCCAGAATTGAACTCGTGCTGCAGTGGCTACTGATAGCTTCATAGTACCGAGACTTAACCCCTTGTGCCACCAGGAAGGCCCTGTTACCTGTGTGTTGGTTTCTTTAAAAAAAAAAAAAATATCCTATTGATAACCAGGTGAGAAAAGAGGTCACACAAAACCAAAGAAGACATCTTTCTCACAAAGTGGCCTCCAGATTCCCCAGGCCCCTGCTCTGTGTCTGAGCTGCTAAGGGACTCCATTTGGCCCCTTGGCTTCTGAGTTACACTTCCAGGGCTCTGCCCTGATGGGTTTTGCACAACTACTCTTAAATGTGAACAGGGCAACTCCCGATTTCCAGCACCACTGCTGTACAAAAAACTTTGAAACAGACACGTTAACCCTCTAATCCAATGTTTCTCAACCTTTTATCATCCCATCACGAAGCCTTCTGAGGTATTTCCTGATTTGTCCCCTCCCCTAAAACACCACAGGAATACTATACATCTGTTTATTTACTGCACTTATATCTGGGCAGAATTTTGTCCCCCGGAAGGGTGATGTTGCCCCCTCACCCCATTTAGGATGCATGTCTAACCTCCTTTGGACCTTCCTTTCACCTGCTTTGTTCTCTGTAATCTAAGAGTCTAGAACAGTACCTGGCACATATCAGGTGCCCTGTTAATGAAGGGATGAAATAATTATGTCTCACCCGCCACCCCACATCATGTGCCTCCTGTTCTCTTTCCACCCCTTGTCTCCAAGTTTGTGAGCTCGAGAAGCGTTACAGCACTGCCTAGGTTAGTTGCACCTCATGCTCGCCCCCAGGGATGGATCAAGAAGCTGACAGCCTAGTCTTCTGTTCCAAGCACGGGGCCCCCACTGTTTGGTAGTACTGCCCGCGTGTCAAGGGCAAGTGACATTTGAGCCCCATGGAATAATTAAGTCAGCCCCCACTGTCTCTGTCTTTGCATCTCCTTAAGTCGACCACGGATTGGCAGTTATTGAGACATTCTGCTTGGTCCGGCACACCACACCAGGCTGCATCTGGGAACACACCGGGGAGAGGAGCAAACCCGTCCTCATCAGCAATTACAAACAAGCCGTCCATTGTTAGCCACACCATCTGTTTTCTTGGTTTCTACCAATCGGGTAGCCTGTACACCCGGCATAACCAGGGGCTGGGGAAAGCGAGAGCTAGGAGTCCGTTCCTGAAGAGACCCTTCTCTCATCCTGGAGAGGCTCAGTGGCGTGGCTCAAAGAAGCCTCGTGACAAATCTGTTTGCTGTCTCCCATGAGAGTGAGCAGAGCCTGCCGAAGAGCATCGGGGAGAAACAGGAAATCAGGATAACCTTGTTATCTGGAGAATTACGAAAAACTTTCTAGTCCTATACATACAGTCAACCCGCCCAAGAGCTGCTGGGACAGAGAGCTCAGTCAGCTTGCAGAGAAGGGGTTAACTGTGCTTGGCAATCAAGCGAGACCAAGGATGCCATTGGATCATCCATCATGGATTATTTCTGTTTAAATTCTTAACCCCGAATAAGTAGCATGGGGAATGAATTTTTATCAATAGACTAGAAAGCCCTGTTTCATTCAAGCCCATATCAAAGTCTCTCAGAGAGCCCCACCTAAGAAGAGTGGTCCTTCTCCTGAAAGAATTGTGAACCCCCACCTTAAAAACATCCTGGTTACTGTGCCAACCTTGGTAGACAGTGTCAGCAGAGAATCCTTACCTGTGGCCCTGGAGACAACGCTCTGTGTCACTGACAAACGTCCTTTGTGCAGGTTCCGTGGTCTAGTGATGCTGTGTGGGGGTTGGGGTGACAGCTACTGCCTGACGAAGAAGAGTTTCCTCTCGTTTGCTCTGTGCAAAGACCTGGGTCCCTTAGCAAACACAGGCTATAACAGGATGGCTGTGGATGGCGTGGTGACTGAGAAAGCCTGTCACAAAGTACGGACAAGTTCAGTTCCTCCCTAAGGATCGACATGAGTATTAAGATCCTAGTGCTCTGTGAGGGAGGGTCCAGTTTCAACACTGCTGAGTCCCCTTCCTCAGCTGCACAGCATTTAGATGCCTCCTCCCTGGGAACTGCCACCTCACAGGTGACCGTGGCTCAGACTGGACACACCGATTTCAACCCAGAAACATGTAAAACGAAGCTTGGAGTCTTAAACTTCCCATTTGGAGGATTTCAATCATTTTTCCAGATCATCCATTGAATTCTAAACACTTGTCTTACAAACACTGACCCAAATCAGTCAGGAAGGGCAGGGCTATAGGAAAAGGCTACATTGGACACGGCTGCCCAGTGTTGGCCTGGCTCCCTGCAGCCTCTATGTTATATATCCCGGGGATGCTCAAGGCACCTTTATCTCACACTGACTCGCATGCCAGCAGCTAGAATTGAGTCCCAACAGGTAGAATTTTAAGTGAATTTTCAGTTCATAATGATCTCCACAGATGTGACTGCACTCAGGCAGCTCAGGAATAAATGTATGATCAGCGCTGTGTTCATTATCACGTGGGGCTATGGGTGTGCTGGACTTGTAGTCACTTGATTTTATGTTCTTTCCTTTCAGATTAAAATTAAGATCTCATTCTAATATTGGAGCAAGGTAAGACTGACACGTCATCAAATTTGCCCCACGACCCTGCTTTCTGGGAATGTTGTTTACATTTCCTAACTGGCCTTCCTCCTTCCGTGGCTGACTCTGTGTTGAGGTGCCCCTCACATTCCTCCTGCCTCTTGCCTCCCCTCTCGAGGGGCCCTGCCATACTCCTGCCCCTGCATGTCTGCGCTACCCCGGGCAGCCAGCCTCGCCTTTCTTCTGCCCTGTGCACTCAGGGCGGAATCCGACACCAACACCTGCCATCCCGGAAAATGTCTTTGTCACCCGCCCTTTTGTGTCCAGGGCCATGGGGAGCTAGGGGACCTGGGGCCGCCCCCTTTTTTGTTGCCCAAGCCTGGAGAAGCAGGATCTTGAGATGGGCCGATAAGAAGCGGCACGTGCTGGCTGGCCTTTGACCGTTTGCCTTAATGGAGGCCTCCACAAAGGGAGCCAGGTTATCCGAAGGGCTGCTGAATGGAACAGCTGGGGGAGGAAGAGCAGACAAAAGCTGGGGGAGCTCAGAGGGCGGAGAACCTGGACATGGGCTACAGTTTAGGACCCAGAGGGTAGCTAGCCCTGGCAGGTGTGACCTCTGTGGGCCTCTCCTTTCTGCCCTGATTGGGGTACAGGTGCTTCCTCATGCACACTGAGGGACCACAGTGGTGGTTGAAAATCCCCCCTTAAAGTGACTGGGACTGTGTCAGTTCATGGGCTCACAGGTAAAGGGAGGAGAGGCGTGATGGTGATGGTGATGATGGAGCGCATGCGTGAGTAAGCCCTCATTAACTGTATCACTGACAGTGGAACACCTGGCACAGATGCCATCCACTTAAAAATGGAAGTAGGATATTAGGGTCTAGAATGTTTGATTTACCCAAAGTACCAACTTCCTCCACCAGACAGGCATTGTCACACCTGCAGCCAGGTGAGCAGCAGCTACTACAGTGAACCCACCCTCCTACCCAACTGTCCTTTCTTCTCCCCTCAGCCACAACTTTGGTCTGGTACCGGAATCGTTTTAAGCTGGGCTCATTCACATCAGCCCCCAGAGGTGACAAGCTGCAAAGCCCAGGTGCTCACGCTGGGCCAGCCAGAGCAGGGCGATACAGTTCCCTCCAAAGTGTCAGGTGGATGGTCTCACAAGTGTCCTGCTAAAGCAGTGAAACAGGGCTTGAATGTTCTTTAAACAGACCCCCAGCTTCCAGCACGAGGGGAGCGGCTGCATGAGTAGAGTGGCTGCCAGCAGCTTGTGAGTGGAATTACTTCCTTGTGGTCGCCTGCTCACTCCACAGCTGCTGGCTCCCCATCAATCATGGGGCACAGTGGACATGACAGGCGCCCTGGCAGGCTGAGGACATGCCAACGGAAAGGTGGAACTGGAGGAATGCATGGCCCCTGTGTGTGTGCAGGCCCAGCATGTGCCCCTCGTGTAGGGCCCACCGCTTCCAGACACCCGACGGCTGCTTTGCTGCAGAGCCTTGTGGCCTGTGTCCCCAGGCCACTCTGCCGAGCCACGGGGACTCGAAATGCACCCCTCCTTGCCCTTCCTGGTTGTACGGGTAGAGATGGAGGGATTAATTATTTATTTTCCATTCTAATCCAGAATAGTTTAATGTCACATCTTTAAACATCACTTACCACTTTCTCTCTCTCTCTCTTTTTTTTTTTTTTTTTTTTTTTTTTTTTTGCCTTCCTGCTCCCAATTTATCTGATTACAGCGGGGGTAAGGTGGTTCCTCATTAATAATGTGAAATCTTAGACAATGTGAAGTGAAGGTATTTCAGGATGGAATATTATCTGGAAGTAAATCAGATTGCTCCCTCCTGCCCACCCCCACCTCCTGGATTAAATGCCAGTGCCCCCCTCCAGCTGCTTGGGAGCAGAGAGATGCTTTCGCCAGTGCCGTCTCTGCCATGGTGACAGTGTCGCTGTCTGTCTTTGTTAAAAGCAGCCTGTTTTTAAGACAGAAAATAGTAGAAGGGAGGCCCCGGACTTTTCTTCTCTCTGCTTGAGCTTACTGCAGTCAGAAGAGAGGGGACGAACGCCCCAGCCCTGGAGTATTAAAGCACTGAATAGCGGAACACATAGGACCTGACTCTCCAGGTCCAGGTATATTTGCAAGTTCTGACTTCAGAGACATCCTAGAAACAATAGGGTAAGGTCAGAAAATTTAAAAAGATGTTGTCTACGAATGAAATGTCTTATGCAAATTAATTTCAAATGCCAATAATAATCAGCATTCCAAGACCAAACCCCTGGCAGCAAAGTATGTAGGGATATGGAAAGAAACCCTGCTTTTGAGGTTTGTTCCAAGCCCAGAAGATGGGGTGTAATACAACCAGGTTTAAAAATAGATGGTGAGGGGAAGGGTGATGAAATGATCTTCTCACTGGAAGAACTGCCCCAGGGAGGCAGGCTCACCGGCAACAGTGGCTCGGTATTGCAGCAGGCATTCCTGTATTCCTCTGGGCACACTGGCGACCGCCCTGGGGGAGGGCGAAGATGCAGCCACTCTGGTTTTAATTTTATTCCTTTTTCCCACCAGTGCTAAATAGTGGTACGCTCATCTGGATTCATTCAGACAAGCAATTGAATCCTGACCTCTCATCTTAGACCGTTTGGGGACTTATTGAGTCTCAACTCATTGTGTAAAATATCAATATCCGTGTGTGTAAATAATAACAACAAAGCTGCCCGTGAAGTTTGACTTGCTTTCCCATTGACTCTGGACAATGTGCTTCCTTGGTGCCTCCCTTTACTGTAGTCAGATACCTTTCTCTTCATCCATTCCTCTAGATGGGGGACAGTGAGGCTGGATTAACTTCAAAGAGATTCATAGCTTCTTGTTAGGCTTGCAGGAAAACCCAAAGCAACATTTAGGAGGAAAGACATGCATTTGTCGATTCATTCAGCAAACATCCCTGCTTGAGCGGCACAGGGGCCAAGGAATCCTCTTCCTGGGGCTATGGTTCCCCCCTCAGTGCCACAGACCCGCCCTCAAATCTGTGTCCATGAGGGTCTTGCCTCATGAAACTGTAAAGGCCTTTCTTTGCTTCCTCTGCAGGGACCTGGCTGCCAGCACGAGTGCCTACCTCTTGGTGCCTCTTGGTGAGGAGATGGATGAGACTTCCCCTATTCCCCACGCTCCCCCCACCCCAAACAACCCCTCAAACCCAGAGACTCTGGGAAACATGGCCACAATGGTGATATCTTCAGCCAGTCTTCCCATTCGTGGACTTCTGAAGAGAAGGGTGAATCCCATCAAATGTTGCAAACTGGACTTTCAAACTTGGCATTGGCATCTTTCCCTGGAACCTCACAAATCTTGCACTTCAAAAGAATAAAAAGCCACCACCAACCAGAGACAGCCTTTCTCCCACACGGGCATATAGTTGTGGCTGCTCTGCACAGAGACTAAGAGAAGATTTGGGGCTTTGGGAGGGGCAAAAGGTAGCAGGTTTCTGTACCCTAGTTGTTCTGCTCATTTATAAACCCCAGCATGATTCACAGAGGGACCAGCAAAACAACTGTCAAATGAGGAATTTTCTCTGCATTCATTTTGCTAGTTCTTCTTATATTAGGATTTATGATTAACTCAAAAATTTCATCATCATGGAAATTGGCTTTCCCCAGGGTCTTTTGCCCAGGAGAAGTTTTACCTCAGTTGCTGAGTGTTTTTCCACCTGGTGCCTGATGCCCCCTAACTGGGGAGAGGCTTACCTGACCATCCTGGAGGCCCTCCAGATCACAATGGTGAAACTCCTATCGCAGAACACTCAGATGATTCTAGAAATGCCGGGTCCCATCCCTGAAAAATCTCCGATAGGTCAGGAGGCCTTCTGAGGCACAGGTCCACACTGCAGCAGGTGGATACTCGAGTCACTGGCCAGCTGGGTGCTAGACAGTGACGGGCACCCTGTCCTGCCCATCTGCCTGCAAGGCTTCACCCTAAGTTGTGCTCTGCTACCTGTTGCTCAGAGGGCCATGACAGGGGCCTTAAAAATATTTCCCACTTTACAGAATTTTAGGGCTACAGATCCTAAGCTAGGGATTTCCCCCATTGGCTCCAAGGAAGGCGAGGAAGAGACTAATCCTCCTAACCCTGGAGTGGAAAAATTCAGCTGTCAGTAATGAATAACTTGACGTTCCTGTAATCCTCGATGATTTTAACAACCCCACCACCCTACATTACAGCCAGCAGCTTGGGGACTGGAGCCTTTTCTGAGCCCCACAGTTCTCTGTACCAGCGCAGGTTTGGGCACTTGGAATGAGGGAGCAGGCAATGACAACCAGCTTTGCTTGCAGTCACCTGGACTTGAATTGTTTTTGTATCTTGGGTGGAAAAACTGAAATGATCAGGGTTTGGCTTTTTTTTTTTTTTCACTTAGAAAAGCAAATATGTTTTTGTAATAAATGCCTTTCAGCAAAATTGTGGAAGGGACCCACCTGAATTACAGCGCTGACTCATCACATTAGTAAGCCTTCTGTAAACAGAAGTGGCCCTAATTGGCCCAAAATAGATAATACTGCCTGGTGTCCAGGCAGGGCCAGGAAGTTTCCTCTCCTCTCTGCCTGCTGATTTGTGTCTAAAACAAAGCTGATGTTCCATTATCACACTAGTAGGTCTTTTACTTAAACAAAAGAGTAATTCCATGAAATGATGACTTTTTAAGAATAGTGAAACCTTTAGTAGACTGAGGGAGGAAATGTAACCTGGGCAAATGACTGTCCCAGTATCTTTATGTAGTTGGTTAACTGACTCTCAGTTCCTAAGAGCCACAGAGAAGGAGGGGGTTTAAGCCTTGACGTTGAGAGGGGGCTGACTAATTGAACCCTTAGCCTTACAAACGAGATCACTTGGATCCGTAGACAATGCAAATCACATCTTCCTGTTCTTCCTCAGGTGTCACCACCTGCACTTCACTTACTGTCATATTTGTATCACCTGGAAGTTTAAGGGATCCTTTAAAATTGACTGTGATGTCTTACATGTAACTGTGTTACGTTCTATCTACTGAAGGGGAATGTCTGCACCTGAGGGAAGTTCAACATGAAACAACCATTATTTTACTTGCACTCAATATCTATGTATGGCATATACATTAAGTGAATGTTACTTACGTTTTCAGGTCTGCAATATTTAGTACGTGTAAATAGGGAAACAAATTGATAAATATGGTAAATTAAGTTATAGTGTTATTTGATTTTTATTGTGCTATCTGGTTATTTAATTTTCCTAATGCTCCACACCTAGGTGTGTGCCTTGGTGGTATTGACCTTCGTATAACCCACCTTTGCAGGCAGGTGTGTGCCAGGCGAAGTGCAAAATGCCGAAAAAGCACACCACTTTTCATCTGACTCTCAGTTCTCTTTTTCTCTTTGACTCTAATTACTGTGATGATTTAATAAAGTAGAAACACAGCACTTATGGCCGAAGTTTCTTTTCTTTTCTTTATAGCTTGTAGGAAAAATAAAGTTTTTCCTGTCATCTGACCAAGAGTAGCTTGCATTTTTATCAAATGAAGTTGTTCAAAAACAACTTTTTAATCAAAGCCCAAATAGTTATTCAAAATGGTAGTCAGCACCAATCCAGGGAAATTTACAAATGTGCGCATGCAAAATTGACCTCTCCTGCTCATCACACGGAATGCTAAGATCCTTTCACAAGGAATTCAAGCATTGTCTGCCTCACCTGTGTAATTCTATCCTTTCTTTGTGATTACATAACCAGGCTTGTGTCTCCTGCGGTTTCTCAAAGCCCATCATGAGCTCCAGCCCTGGTGAGCAAGAGGTAGACTTTGAGAGTTTGTCTTTGTGAATAAATGATAGACAAGATATAAAAATAGCCTCACATTCTGATGTCCTGGCCCGGTGGCCTCTGGGCTTCTCCTATGCTCTGGATGGCTGTGGACTTTTAGGACATTAAACAACTGAGATTTCTAAAAAGCACCCATTTGTCCATTTAGCAAATATTTAAGTATTTCCAAAACAGGGGCTTTCCTGGTGGTGCAAGGGGTTAGGTCTCAGCACTATGAAGCTATCAGCAGCCACTGCAGCATGAGTTCGATCTCCAGCCAGGGAGCTACCCACATGGCACAGCAGACCTCTCCTGTCTCACCCACTGCTCCCCTCAGCACTGTATTTCAGTCAATCTGCCTGTTCTACTCCCCACTCTGCCTCTGGTGAATCCTCTCTCACCCCCCCCCAACACCTCTGGCCTACACCCCAGTTCTTATATGCATAAATAAATAAAATAAATCTTTAAAATAAGTACTTCCAAAATATTTCAGTTCTCTCAGAAAGTTCCAGGTGCCTCCTTGGAAGCCAAATAGAACCTGAATACATTTGGTAGTTTTTAACTTTTGACTGGTAGCAAGAACTTGCTACAAGGTATGTCATACTTTTAATACTTGGTTCCTCGGGGGGTAAAACTTGAGGCGGAATTTTAGCTCTGCTTTGACTGGAAGCAGTAGTTCCCAATTGTGTGCATCAGAATCCTTCAGGAAGGCTTACAAGATTCCTGCCCCACCCCTCTCCTAGCTTCTGACCTACCAGGTCTTTGGCAGAACCTCAGCATCTGTATTTCTTAACCCTCCCCCTGTTGGGAATTCTGACCTGCAGATTGATTCTGATTGAGAGGCTTGGCCCGACTCCATCATGATGCTTTGGACAACCCTTCCCTCTCATCCAGTCTTACGAGTCTACCCTGGAGTGAAGGGAACACCAGAGGAAGACTTGGAGGTGTCTACACCTACTCTGCTGTTGGGTCCTGTCCTCCCCCACAGTGAGTCCACTTTTTACAGGTCCTATTCCCTCCAGGATAAATTATGGCTTCTTTTCAGGCCTGGAAATAGTCGTTTGAATATCAAAGGATATGGTTTTGTAAGTCTCTTAAAACAGTGTATTTTCTCATATATAACAAAGATGGGGGGGAGGTCTCCTTATCATCCTAATTCCTGTAAGTAATCTAGGTCTTCAAAAACTATTTATCAAATCTTAGGTCATATCTTACAAGACCTTCAGCAGAATTCCAAAAAGAATCCAACTTCCATTGGTTCCAAAAGAATGACTACCACATTCTTCTCCAGCTTTCTTGACTTATAAGGGGTGCAGAATTGGAAGAAAGAATACCCTCAAGGCACCTCTTGGCTATAGTATAATTCTCTAAATATTCCAGGAAAAATACTGGTGTGTTTGCTGCAGTAAAGACTATTTCTCAGTGATAAGACTCGGACATTTGTATTTACTCACCTCTGTACACATTTGAGCTAGCATTATGGTCTGTGTATGTGAATAAAATAAATTGAGGCTGCTTTGATTTGCTAAACAGTTATGTCAAGAGGACCTATTATCATTTTCTCTTCTACAAATGGAAATCATTTTAATTGCCTTTCATTTTTCAAATCAGAAAGCAAACATATGGAAATAGAAGGGGCAGCAAACTGCATCCCCGTGTGACTGGTTTACCTGCAGCAGAGAGGTCGTCCTGCATGCCACCCACCAAATTCGGACCAAAACCCAGGACTAACCATAGTGGCTCACTGGCTTCACAGCTCGAAAGTGGCACTCCCGGCAGGAGCTGAGTTTCCTGGGCTCCACTTCATGACTACACCGCTATTTAGAAGCAGTCACAGATCTTAACCAGCTCTCGTACTGTTTGTTGAAATTGTAGTTCTGTGTTCCTCCTGGCCACTGTGAAGTTTTCCCTAAGGTTAACTTCAAAGTCGCTTTGGCCCTCTTCTCACATGGGCCAGACATAGCAGGTGCCAGGGTCTTCTAATGTCAGGAAACTTGTAACAGGAGACTCAGCTACTCTCCCTGGGGCAAAAAAGAGGGTGCTAGAATTGATTTTGTCTTGACTCCAGAAACCACTGGATAACACATGTCTGTAAAGATATTGCTCATCTGTAGACCTAGAAATCAGATTCTGAAGCAAAGACCCTGCGGCAAGGCAGGCAACACATAATTGGTGGTGTCGATGTGGGGGCCAGCTTGCAACACGGCCGAGCACCCCCCTTCTCTCTGCATATACGGATCCACAGAGGGATTTAGCCCCTGCTACTGGTTGGCTGAAATTTTTTGTTCATTTATGTTTTATTTTTTTTTTGAAGTGGAAGAGAAAGGAAGTGAAGGCACAGCTATCCTTCGGTGCCATGAGGACTGCCATTGAGTGGAGTGAAAAGAGACTTGCACTCAACACCAAGGTCAGGGGCTCTTAGTTTGTGCCTACTGCAGCTTGAACGACATTATCGCCCCCTGATAATGGGACAAAAACAGCTGACAACCCAGGGAGTCAGGGACATCTTAAATAATAATATCTCTGCGCCCAAATATACTCTCCAGAACAATCAAAGAGCAGCAATAATAATGGCAGGAACTCAGAACTGATGCCCTCTGAATAATACAATAGAATTTACTGGAATTTGGAGAGTGCTTCTTTTTTGTTTTTGTTAATATTTTCAATTAAAAATGTGTTGAATAACTAAGTTTTCACTACCCTAAGTTAAATTGGCTAATATGTTGGGCCTGAGTGAACATTGTTACAAGCTGTTATGTTAAAAAAAATTTGTCTGAAAGATTCTGCCTCTCATAGAACAAAGATTAGGAAGCCCGAGTTAACATCCATCCCTCTGTACTGTGACAAACATGAAAAACACTGATTATCAGACTTTTGTTGATATTCATAATGAAATACTCCTGTTAGATATCAGAGGACATGGTGCATGTGATCAAAAATTTTATTTAAAACATTATTTTAGGAAATAATAATCTTTGGGACAAGAGTAAGTTTCCCTATGTGTCCCAGTGTAATTTTAATTTTCAATCTTCCATTAACATGTCCCACCTTTCCCTCTAGCAAAATGCTTGCTGAGTTTGACAGAGAATATTTTATACAAAGAGGTCATATTCATCAACTTCCACCTTGTGTGGGGTCCCGGGGTTCTGAAAATTGGAGTGTGCCTCTCGCTGAGGGTGTGAAGTGGGAAGGGCCTTGCTATTATAGCTCCTGAAAGGCTCTTTTTGACTTCAGAAAATAGCCTGGCAAAGAAAAGCTTTTTTCCATGAATACTCAGGGACTGCATTATGCTCCTCAGATGGTAGAGGCGAATACTTTTGATCAATATTCCTTAAGAAATGGCCACTAGGCTAACTGCAAGCAAAGGGTCTGAATAACCCTCCAAACCTGCCCAGGATTCGCAGCAAATCTCTTGCTAACAGTTTGAACCAGTCAGGGCTGTGCATTAATGACATCATCTTCTCCCTTTTAACAATGTCACCTCATTTTGTCATCCATGTTGATAGCTGATTATGGGCCCACGGGAAACAGTCATTAATATAGCTTTCCTCAGAGAAATCTTGGCATCTTCTTTTTAGGGTCCAGGAAAAGGGACCCCCTGGAACAGTTTCTGCCTAAAGAAGTGGGTAGAACACCCATAAGAAATCTCAAAGCAGAAGCTTCTCTTTATCAGCGAAGTTTTATTTATTCATCACTGTTGAGATTTCATAAGAGCGAAGTCACTGTATGTACTTGACACCAATATTCTATCCATCTTTCTACAATTAATGATCTGCCCCATTCCAAACTTGTCCTCAAGATTTACAAGCTGCTTATTCAAAAGAATATTCTTCTACCCTTCTCTGAAAATGAATGCAAATACACACACAAATGGGGTTTTCTTTTTTATAGATGTATATAGCCTCATGCAATATACATCATTTTATAATTTCTTTTAAAACTTTACCATATGTCACATGCATGTCTCCCGCTAATTTATCCTTTTTAATAGTTGCCTATCATTGCTTAGTATAGATGAGCCTTTCTTTATTCAGCCTCCCTGTGGACATTCAAGTGGTTTCCATACAGTTAGGCCACTTCTGAATTTCTAGCCCACAGAAACAATGAAGTATAATAATGATTATTCTGTGCCACTAAGTTTTGGGGTGATTTGTTCTTACACAGTCATAGTAACTGGGACATTGACCTCATGTTTGCTTTGAAGATGACATGAGGATACTGTATAGAATATTACACACATTACATACAAATAGTGCTTTACATAATATGGTGGATGCAATGAGTTTCAACCCTATTCCTCTGATGATCTCATTTCATAGAATGCTGTGCTGGGGAGCCAGATACCTGGCTGATGGTTTTTTGTGTCTCAGATGAAGAACCTTATGATATAAGACAAGGCATTTACCATTCACAGACATTTTCTTTGTATCCAGATTAGTGATTTTTGATGATTTCCAAACAGGATTGATGTTAACTCCAAATAGAAAACATCATGTTCAAGCACTCTGAAAAGCAGGTAACACCCTAAAATATAAGGTATATTCTAGTTCTTTATTGCTATGTTCACATCACCCCAATACTTAGGAGCCTAAATCAACAATATACATTTTATTACTCTCTCTCTCACTGTCCTGGAGGGGACAGGGCTCGGCTGAGCTATTCTACAGCTTTCCCTCAGATGTCCTGAGATGGGGAGAGGCTCATCTGCTCTCCGGTGCGTCTGGGTCAGTTCTGGCAGTTGACTGAAATCTCAGACCAGGTTGTCAGCAGAACACCCTCATGCAGCCTCTGTGCAGCTTGGACTTCCCCACAGCATGGAGGCGGAAGTGCCCCAGAGAGGCCCAGGCAGGAGCTGCATGGCCTTTTCTAACCTGGTCTCAGAAGCACACTGTGTCCCTTCCGCTGTATTTATCAAGGAAACAGTCACAAATGTTTGCTCAGTTTCAAGGGAGAGACACCCACTCCATCTCTCAATGGAAGGTGTGTCAGAGTTTGCAGAAATGTTTTAAAACCTATACCAGGTGGCATTAACAATACATAAATTTTAGAATCATACTCTCTCACATCCTGTGGATGGACACCATCAAAGAACTCAAAATAACAATGCTGAGTGAGTGCTCATCAGCACTTGACCTGAATAACTCAATCACAACAATAGCCTTGGGTGGTACTTAATTGCAGCCAGCTGGAGTAGAAAAAAATTTATTATAGGCTCTTGGCTACTCATGTACTGTCCGGGAGGGCCACACAATCAGGTTAGGAGGCAAAAGGAGCCAGAAATAACCCAAATCGCCCAGCCAATTAAGTCCAACCGCTGCTCCCTCCCAGCCCAGGGCTTTTGCCACACTACCTTGGCATGACGGAGGCCTCTCCACCCTCCTTGCCCATGATGACAGTACCTGGCACCTCCTCCTTCAGGTCATTCTCTGGATCCACATCCCTCAGTTACATCTAATCAGACACTGGGCCCCTGTAATTCAAGATGTGAGGGTTGCCTAACACTGATCATTCTCTACTCATATTCTCATGGAAATCAAGAAAGTGCCTCTCTTCTAGCTTGAGGAGGCAGGACTCAATGGTTGGGAAATTTTCCCAGGATAGAAAGGGTGTTCAAAAGGTGAGGTGTCAGCAGAAAGCATAATAAATGTCCAGTGCAGGTAGATACTACTCTCTCCTCATTTTTTTAAAGATTTATTTATTTATGCATGCAAGAGCTGGGGTACAGGCCAGAGGTGAGGAAGTGAGAGGATTCACCAGAGACAGAGCAGGGAACAGAACAGGCAGATCAACCGAAGTACACTGCTGAGGGGAGCAGTGGGGGAGTCAGGAGGGGTCTGCTATGCCATGTGGTTTTCTCCCTGGCCAGATGGGGATCAAACTCATGCTGCAGTGGCTGCGGACAGCTCCAGAGGCTGCGTCTTAACCCCTTGCACCACCAGGGAGGCCCTCTCTCCTCATTTTATCAATGAGAAAACAGAGGCTGAGAGTGGCTAAGGGACCCTCCCAAAGCCTCACAGCTCTTAAATGCTGGAGACAAGATGATAAAGCAGGCTGTGCTGTGACCCCTGGCACCCAATAGCCTCAGGATGCTGGAGAAGAAACAGGTCCCTATCAGCTTGTGAAATCCCACCTTGGGATTGAAAGAGCAGTATTAGCAGAATCCATTTCTTGGAAGCAACAGCATTGGCACTATCTTTGAGGCCTAAAATTACATTTTTTAATTGAAACATCATTCTTTAAAGTTACTAGCCTGGAGTATCAGGCTTGCCATTGGGACTGGCTCACCTTTCCCTTGGCAGTGATGTCCCTCAGCTGGCCTTCGGTGGAGACTGGACCAGGAGTGCTTAATCTGGGAGCTCAGGGGGGGTTTCCTTCTCTCACTCTTGCTGGTTGCCATGGTTCTGTCCTGTTAACTTGCTTGCAGGGACAGAATAGTAAGTGATTTCCACAACCCAGTGCTTTTAGAACAAAGTGGGAGGTAGAGAAGTGCTGGAAGGGGACATGGGCCTGGAGCGCTAAATGACACCTTCACTGTGGCGTGCTATGCTCTCTGCCATTCACATGACTTCAGGCATCGCTCCCTCTTACAGTTTGCCTCTTCAGTATGCTAAAATAAAGTGAAAATGGTTCAGAATCTATGAATCTGCTACACAACCATGTCTGGGTGAGAGACTGAGTTATGGAGAGCTGAAGCACCATTCTCATGAGTGCAGCTTATTTGTCTTCTCAGTCCAGGTCGGGCAGACAATGTATAAGATAGGAGGGAATTGTAAATGATGATGTTCATGGCTCCCCCATCTCACCCAAGTGGAATTTACAAATTATTATTTTGGAGTCAAATTGCCAAAACGTGAATCAGTTGTTTCCATGATTTGGGATTAGAACCGGAAGTGTCCTTAGGTCACCATGTCATACTCCATGATTTAGCAGACCCTTCAAAGAAGATGAAATCAGGTCTTGTATTTCATTATCCATCTGAATTCTCCTGCATGGACACTCTTGCCTCCTTGAGGGTTTATCTCTATGAACCACTTCCTTCTGGCTCTGAGCTAAATTTCCCCACTTACTGAATGTATCACCAGTTGGGGTCTTTCCTTTCTTCCTCCGCTCAATGAGGATAGTGAAAACAATTTCACAGAGGAACTGTGAGAACTCAATGTGTAATTCATGTTAAGGCCTTAGGCCAGGTAAATGTTAAAGGTTCAGTGAATTTTACCTTTTAATGCTGTTACAAATCCATCATCAGTTGTGGCTAGTGGGCTCTGATTAAGCCTTCAAGCCATCAACTCTAGTTATGACCAAGACCTCAACCTCTCAGCTAAACACTGCATTGCATGCAGACTACTTGGGGTTCTGCAAATTTTTATTTTCTAGGTCTGGATAGGACCTGCAATTCCACATTTCTAACCAGCTTTCAGGTGATACTGATATGATGAATGCATGGTCCACACATTGAGTAAAAAGTCTCTGAAAAATGCAAGAAAGTACATGTTTTCCATGTGGTTGCCACAACTGACACTCCAGTGAGACTATGGCAGCAACTGTTTAGAAAAAGTTTCAAGCAGAGGTTGGGGACTTCTCAACAGAGTTGATTTCACACCCTTGGATGGTAATCTAAATTCTCTGAATGC